ATAATTTTTGAAGGTGTTAGAAGTAATATTGCGAACATTACCAATAAAACGAGATTTTGAAGAAAATGAGCCTGTTTTTAAATGTATATCCATACTTTTCCGAACAAATAATTCTTTTGTAAGTGAGAATCAACTGATACTCTATATATTTCAAACAATATAATTAATCTTAAATTATTTACAGGTTTTCAATCACATTCACGAGTTTTTTAATATATTTGCAAAAGTCCTTTCCCCACCTGAAGATCAACTTAAGGATCACACACGTCAAGAGTTAATAGAACTTATTCAAGCACTTAATCAACAATTTCCTGATGCAGTTCTTAGGTCATCATTAGGTGAATTAATACAATTTTAATTTTACTATCGTTACAGCCATTTACACATATTAGAATATATATATAATTCAGACATATTGATATAACACATTCATTGTTATAGTATAAAAATTTATATTACAAACTTATTCTCAATATACAATGTTATAAAACTTATGATCTTTAACTACTATAGAGCAATTATACGTGTTATAGCTTTATGAAAAGTATTTATTTAACCATGTGATATAAATAAAACCAATATTTCCATCGCTATTTTTTACCCGAGGTTTTTTGTTAATAAAAATTTAAAGATTTATATGTTGAGAACCAAATGATTAACCTTGATTAAAAATATTAGGGCTGATATTAAATTTTAGATACAATATAGTACTACATATTTGTTAAAAAAAATGATATATGTATGTGGCGTTCAAGATATAAATTTTGTTGCATATTATAAATTCATATACATTTTAAATTATGAACATTAGGTTTAAAGGAACATATATTAGGTAGGTCATAGGCTTAATTTACCAGCCCAGTAAGGCTAAAAGAACTCATTTTTTTTCAAATAGATAATTTTTTCTATATATAGTTAATTTGTGAATTGAATACGTATCAGACGATAGATAATACTGTATATACGTATATAATGAAATGAATTTAATAATGGCTAATTAAACTTACCGTAATATATTCTCAACGACATATAGACAAGTGTTTTTTTTTTTATAACCTAGTTTAAATATAAAATACTATATAGTCAGTATTGGAATCTAAAAATAATACCTAGAGAAAACCGTTTTTTTCTTTGTTAGTCGTTTTAAATTCCCGATACTGATATTAAGTATTACATAGAAAATTCGTAAAATTTTAAATAAATATTTTTCTAGTCCAAACAGTCCAAACCATAATTTGCATGATGTACTGTACATCTTTTAATTGATGATCCCAAATTTTCTTTTTAGAGTATAAGGAAAGTCTCTATCTTTGCCGTTAATTATTTATAATATGATGTCATTATTATTATTATTATTATTATTATAAACTATATAACAGTGCGTACGGAATTCAATCTTTCGAATTGAAGCTTTTCAAGAATGTCAAAAGTCTTTGCCTTAGCGAATCGTATCTACACTAACAGTTATAATAGTCGCCCTCTACTTACATCAGCATGCACAAACGCTATTATTGCGTCAATATCTGATATATTGGCTCAAGGTATTACATTAGCAAAAAAAAACAACAACCACACTTCCGCAACAAAACCTGAGTCATCAATTACTACGAAATCTTTATCAAATTTTAATGAAGAAACTTTATCAAAACAAGTTCAAAAACAAGTATCCGCGAATATTGAAGGTTCAAATCTCAGTGATGAAACTTTACCAACACAAGTTCAAAAACAAGTATCCGCGAATATTGAAGGTTTTGATTACATTCGCACTTTAAGATTTTCATCTTATGGATTTGTAATTGCTCCAGTTGTTTATACTTGGTTTTCTTTTTTGGACAAAAGATTTCCATTACCTCAAATAAAAGCTAGTAAAGCTACACAAATAAGTACCATAATTAAAAGAGTCTCGGTAGATCAAATTGCATTTGCACCCGTCGGATTGTCTTTATTTTTTATTATTATTGGAGTGTTTGAAGGTCATGATATAAATGGCATTAAACAAAAATTTCGAGAGGTAATTAATTAAGACTTTCGTCGATCACCAAAAAAAAGAAGTTGTAATACTAATATTTTTTTATGTTGTAAAATTTTCAGGCTTATATTCCTGCTTTAAAAGCAAATTATATAACTTGGCCATTTGTTCAATTTATTAATTTTGGATTTCTTCCTTTAAGATATCGGTTACCTTTTGTTAGTTCTGTTGGCATTCTATGGACATGTTATCTTAGTTTATTGAATAGTGTAACGGAATTTTAATGCTATTATATACAGTATATGCATTTGTACTAACGATTCTATATGAAAAATACGAAAAACATTGTTTTTTTAAAGAATAAATTTGTTATGGAGAATTTGTTTTACAGATCATTGCTGTAATTTTTTTTATGTATGAAGCCAATTTTTTAGTTTTAAAAATGTTAAGTGACCCGATGGATGATTGTAAAATATAGATACTCTCTTGGGGTTCGACAATCTGTGCTCTGCAGCCGTTGAAATTTGATCGTATATCGTGGAATGAGGCGTTCTGCAAGAACCCACACTAATAAGTCGACACGAGGCTTATTGAACCTATGGAGATAATCGTGTTTATGAGCCTCCAATGTGATTCTATTATCATGGTCGTTTTTAATACTGATATTCCTTCTTTTGCGCTTCGTGCCCGATTGGGCCAATTCAAAGATTATATTCCTTACAACAGGTATAAATCTCTCTAACGGCTGCCTCATAAATTTGAGCTTTAGAATAATAGAGCTTATCAGGTGCAGGAATAAATGGGTGTTGGTTAAAATGTTTAACCATGAAATCAAGGATTGGACCGTGGAGGTATTTGTTGAGCTGAGTGTTAGAATCAATAATCAATTAGTAAGTTGACTAAACTTAATAATTTTAAAAGTCTAATTAGTTCGTGCTCTTAAACTTTTACAGGGTCATTCAACAAAACGTTCGTTTTTGATACTCCTGCACCTACTTTTTTGATACTGATCGACATGCAAATCCCAGTAAAGATAAAAAAAATTTAAAAACTTTGAGCGAAGATATCTCGACAACTATTTGCTTGAATCTGTTAAACCTTTTCGTTTGAATTCTATGGATTCATAGAATTTAAATAAAAAATTTCATCGAATTTAACCATGTGGTTGTCGAGATATCTTCGCTCAAAATTAGAGAACAATCAAAACGCCTATCAAAATAGAATCTGCGATAAATTTTTCTCTAACTTTGAGCGAAGATATCTCGATACCCACCTGACCAAATTCGATAAAACTTTTTTTGTTTGAATCCTGTGGATTTATAGAATTCAAGTAAAAAATTTTCATCGAATTTAGTCAAGTGGTTATCGTGATATTTTCGCTCAAAATTAGAGAAAAATAAAAACGCAAAAGTTACGCCAAATTTTCTCTAACTTTGAGCGAGGATATCTCGATAACGGTCTGACCAAATTTGATAAAACTTTTTTCTTCCAATTTTATGCACCATAAAATTTAACAAAAAAATTTCATTGCATTTTAGTCAAGTGGGTGTCGGGATAACTTCGCTCAAAGTTAGAGAGAAAATTTGGCGCAGGTTCTATTTTGATACACATTTTGATTTTTCTCTTTGAGCGAAGATATCTCGACAAGCACTTGATTAAATGCGATGAAATATTTTTTATTTGAATTCTATTAATCCATAGAATTAAAATAAAAAACGGTTTATTGAATTTGGTTAGATGGTTATTGAGATAGCTTCGCTCAAAGTTAGAAAGAAAATTGGCGTAGCTTCTATTTTGATAAACGGTTTGATTTTTCTCTAATTTTGAGCGAAGATATCTCGATCCAATTTGACTAAATTCGATTATAATTTTTTTATTTAAATTCTATAAATCCATAAAATTCAAATAAAAAAAGTTTTATCGAATTTGGTCGGGTGGGTATCGAGATATCTTCGCTCAAATTTAAGAGAAAATTTTGCGCAACTCCTATTTTGATAGGCGTTTTGATTTTTTTCTAATTTTGAGCGGAAATATCTCGACAACCACATGGCTAAATTCGACGAATTTTTTTTTATTTGAATTCTATGAATCCATAGAATTCAAACCGAAAAGGCTTTATCAGATTCAAGCAGGTAGTTGTCAAGATATCTTCGCTCAGTTTTTTTAAAAAAATTATTTTTACCGGGATCTGCATGTCGATCAGTATCCCGTCATTCAAAGCGGTGGCAAACACATGACAAAAGCAAAACAAAAGTGCAAAATGTCGATATAACAATGGCGATTAATAAAAAATGTGGGATGAAAATTTACCTTATAAATACACCTAACCTTAGCCTTACCTAGTATAAAGTGGTCCTAGAAAACCTCGTTTTAGGGCTTCACTTATTTGTGTCGGTAATACAAATTCCTAAAAGGAAATAGTTAATCAATTCATCCGTGCGAAATCGACCTTGGTGCACTAATTAACAAATTTTTACATGTAATGAATGACAATTTATCGCCCTTAAATGCTAATCAAACATTCTTGTCATTAAGTTGTCAAAAAAAGTCAAATAGTGAAAAGTTTATGCATAAATTTTTTTCCTTTGGGCCATACAAGGTTAATTTTTCGATTATAACATAAAATTTTAAAAATGACCCGGCGACTAGCTTTTAAAAAAATTTTATATACAAAAAATACACAAATTTTTTTTATAAACATCTAAAAAAATCCATCCGGGTAATAAATACAGTATATTCAAAAATTTTGCAGAATTTGACCTAGCCGGGTTATGAGAACCAATTTATTAAGTTTGTATGGCCTTGTGTTTTTTTTTTTATTGTTAAAATTTTTAGCAAGTAAATATTAGAAACTTGGCAATAATTTTTTTAGAAATACATTTTATTATTTATACTGTATGTTTTATTTAATGTCCATTGCTTTAACTAGACAATTTAGATATTACTGTAGTTATCAACCAAATTTTCATTGTTCAATTTCATTCATGCTAACTCTAATAATAATATATGTTAAATTGCGAATCTGTTTCGATCCGATCCCAGGATCTCCTGATAGTGTTAAAATCGGCGCAAGTATGCTGTGCAAAAAAAAAATTTTTTATATAGGAATGTTTTTGTATTTTTTGTGCATACTGTGCAAAAATTGGGGTGAGTCAATAGAAATCAAGCAAACTTTTATAATAAAATTTTTTTATACCTTTAAACAAGAATAACTTAACAAAACTTTAACCAAATTTAATAAAAATTTTTTTAATTAATTTACAAACAAAATTATTTTCGGTTAATTTATATTTTGCAGACAATATATTTCGCAGACAATTTTTCTTATAAATTGCACCAACTTTAAATTTAAACTTAACCCTAACGACAATGACTAGAATTAATTTGTCTATGAAATCAGATGTCGGTGATATAACTGTTCTATGAAACAAACATATCTGTGAATTAACCGACTGTAAAATAGCTTTGTCTGTAATTTAATTCTCTGCGAACTGAGTTGTCTGTGAAGCAATTGTTAGTGAGATAATATTACTAAAATAAAATATTAAATAAAAATCGAATTCATGTATCCCTATAAAAAAGGATTGAATATTGTCTAATATCTGTGTTGCATGTGTGAAAAAATGTCTAAAAAAGCGCCATTCTGTCTATTTTTTGTCTAACTTTTGTCTTAATTGAAATAAAACAAAAATTGGACAAAAATTAGACAGAATGGCACCTTTTAAGACATTTTTCACATGCATAATACAAATTTCAGACAAATTTTATACATTCCTTTTTATAGGGTATCTAAATAATCACAATAAATGCTTAAGACGGTTTGTTGATACGTAGCGAGAATAGTTTATGTATTCTCACCTGATTTCGTTCCATCATATGATATTACATATCTCAGAAAAGCAGAAGTATGTTACCATTTTAGATGGCAGGAAACCTACACTCCGTGATGCAAGCATGGCTACGTTCTTGGTATCTGTGATGCAAGCATGACTACCTTCTGTATATGCATGGAGCAACCCAGGCCTTGCTCCAGGTCACTCCATATAGAGCAACCCAGGTTTTGTTCCAGGTCACTCATATGGGTTTTGCTCTAGGTCACTTCATATGGAGCAGCCCGGGTTTTGCCCCATGTCACTCCATATGGAGCAACCCGGGTTATAAGAAATAACTTTGTTCTGGTTATTATATAATTCTTAAAATCTCAACCCACTCCAACATTAAATAGAGTATAATCCGAGTTGCTCCAGAGTATGTTGCTCCGTTAACATCCTTAGATATGTCTAACGACAGTAGGGATACGCGTGACTGTAAACTTTACCAGAATCCAAAGAGCTATGAAGGTATAGAAAATGATTACCCTTTTTTTTACGCTTTCTCGCAGTAGAATACGTGTCAGTGCGAATAATCTGTAAACAAGATTATCAGATAATATTTCAGAAGAGACTGTCCCTAGGGGTAATACTGTAATACATAATAGATATGCAGTAATGAATCATGAGTTAGTGCAACGTAACACGACCAGAAAAAATCAAAACAAATGTTCACTTATTCAAAAATAAGTTTTTCTTGCAGTTTTACTATATGAACTTACTAACGCCTAACCCTAGTTTAAACGCTAACCTTAACCTAAATGAACATTAAAAAATTCTGCCGATGATGCGTCCAAAATTATATCGAAATATCTATTTTTGATCTATAAATAATAAATTGAGTCTGTCTCTTAATTTATGATCATATTGAAATACAGTATATAATACTGCAATAACAGAGATAACGATAAAATACTATTTCATATAAAACTTAACAAAGGCAGTGACGATTAATACCGGCAAAATCTTTCCTACCATAACAATGTATACTGTATATTAAACCACATTAATGCCAATTGCTTTACTATGCAAATAATTTATATCCCGAATTTTTATGCAACCCGACCATTCCTATATACAGTACATAACTAAATTTTTAAAAATTTG